AAGAATCATATTAAATACTGAATCAATTATGCACAATATATGTAAATAATATGAAGCTATTTTTTAACAGACTATGTAATTTCAAGACTTGTTGAATTATTATCCATGATTATACATAAAACATATACAATTTTTATAAAACAGCGGGAACCATTAAAAATAAAAACCCAATGAATTCTGAGGAAATCATAGTAATAACACTTTCCACTATTATTTATATATGATACTTTATATTTTGTACAATTAACAGCACACAACAGTATTGCTAAATATTTTTACATAAATGAATAAAGAAATATAAAATATTAATTTGTATAAATAATTAATTATACATACTTATTATAAATGTGTAAATTGTTATGCGTATGGAATACATACAGATGTGCATACAAGCACATGCAACAATACTGATATTTTGACATAGCATTATCTGTACACAATAATTTACATTTTGTATAGTTCATATCAAATAACTTCTGGCAACATGGTTCCTGAGTTAAGTTATGACAGTAGTTACATAATAGTCAATTTAAATTATGTAGTAGATATTAACAAAATAATCATGTTATTTTATAAAGAAATAAAATAATTATATAACAAAAATAAAATTAATATATTAGACAAATATTCAATATTTTATAAAATTTCTATAATGTAAATGAATATTTCCTTTTCCCATATACACATATACTTTTCCGTTAGTAGAAAAATTATAAATTTCTTCTTATTTGTTCTTATTCATGAGAGCATTTAAAGTATATGTATATAAATATATATAAATGTACTTGCATATAAATTTCAATGCTTAATGTAAAATATGAGTCTCTAAATACATACATTCGTCACGTTGGTTCAATACATTTGTTTATACAATTTTTTAATTTGCTATTTCAAGCATAAATCGTTTTATGTAAAGTTAATATTTTTTTTAACTATTGCAATACAATTTGTACGTTCGTTTGTGCATCGATAAAACATTGCAGTTTTTGTAAATTTAACTATGCTGATTTCCATATGCATATTGCTAAATTTCCAGCACAATACATGTATAGTAAGTGCTTCAGCTGATAAGTTATTTCAAATCCATAGCCCTCGCCCACAACTGTGTGCCATGAAGCACCGAACTTCTTATCCATCGTCTCTTTGATCATACGAGAAACACTTTCGTAATTGTCCGCGTATTTTTCAGCCGCTGTAACGCACAACTCCATTGCTTCTTGTTTCATTTCATCTGACATATCACATTTCTGAAAATATAATTATTTAAATGTATGATAATCAACTGAACTTATAACTTAATTTTATAGAAATAACTCCCGTTTAAGAACAAAAATTTAATAATATGTTCCTAAATTATTCTATAATAATAATAATAATACCACAACAAAAAGATATAATTTCGAAACTATTTTTTTCGTAATAACTATTATTGATTAAACCCCGATGACAGTAGTTAGATATATTTTTTACAAAATATGTAATTACCATTTACATACAATTTATTTTACTTACTCTGCAAAGTGGGTATGTATGTAAAATTTTAACGATATCATCTTTCTTTACTTCAGTCATCTTTCAAATCAAAATTTCATAAAAATAGTGACAGGTACTGCTCCTGTTTGAGAGACAAAGTAGAATTTGCCATCTTCCAGGCGCATGTTTAACCCTCAACCCTTAAGACAGAGGTTCTCAAATTCTAGCATATCTGCAGGGGTTTCCTTCATCAAATTATACTTATTTGAAGTAAAATATTTTGTAATTTTACTATAATCTGGAGTATATTTGATTAATTATATATGATACATATGATATTTTTACATTCATTTATTAAATAATTTATACTTGTAATTATATGTTCACACATGTGATCTTTGTATTTGTCACAATAAAAGCTTTTGTTCCTGTCATTCAAACTTATAAAACAAAATGCGTAAAATATATTTGATCGTTATAAATTCTTAAATGTTTTCAAAGTTTAATTGTTTACATTCAGAAGTAGACTTAAGAAAGCATTATTTAACATAGTGATTGAAAGTGGGGTTATATTTTCCGTCTAAAAAAGTGATTATCAGATCCAAAAAATTAAAAGATTTTATAAGAGTTTTAAGTAATGCATGTAACAGTATAATTGATGTATCATTTTGTCTTTTAACATAATAAAAAGTTAGGTATCATACAAATTGTATGTATTTATAATTGGAAAATATTAAAATGAATTAATACATAATTCTAATAAATCTTTAGGTTATTTAACAAAAAATTTGTTTTTCTTTAAAGATTAAAACTTTGCGTTGTGAACTTTGAAAATATTCTTAAAGTATGATCGTAATAAATAATTATTTTTTCAGACAAAAATGACATCTCGGTTCAGCGGGGCTTTGCAATTAACAAATCTGGACGATTTTATTACTCCGTCACAGGTATTTACTTTAATCTTTATTTCTTTTTTTATGTATACCATTTTTTTACATGTAATTTCTTTCTGTAAATAAGGAATGTATTAAACCCATTGAAATTCAAGCATCAAAAAGGAAAACTGGAGCAAAAATAAAAATAGAGGAAGATGGTACACCTTCAGTACTAAATGAAGTATATTATTTAATTATATTTATATCAAAGTATTGTCATCGCATATCAATGTTATTTCACATTGTTTTATTTATAATGTATTTGTTAGATTGGACAACGTGAAAAGTTGCAAAAAGTTGAAATCACACTTGCTGATTGTTTAGCTTGCAGTGGTTGTATCACGTCTGCAGAGGGTGTATTAGTAACACAACAAAGTCAAGAAGAACTTTTACGAGTATTTAGGGATAAAGTTTCTCAGTGTCAAGTAATAACTATTAAAACAAAAATCATTGATATTATATTATGTATGAATTAGAAGTAATATTTTTTATGCATTTTTCAGAATGTAAATAATACATGTTCCATGTACATACTTGTTAGCCTCTCTGTACAAGCAATATTGTCCATAGCAGAACGTTATAGTCTCAATCCAGAAGAAGCATTACATAAACTCGCTGGTTATTTTTATGAATTAGGAGCAGATTCAGTTTTGGACATGACTGTAGCTGATGATTTTGCGCTTCTAGAGTCAGCTAAAGAATTTGTAGAACGTTATAAAGCAGCTAAAGGAGGTGTAGATAATCATTTGCCAATGTTATCTTCTTCTTGCCCAGGTAATACATTTAATAAAAAACAACACAGAATATTAATGTTTTACAAATTTAATGGTTCTAAGATTTACATATATTTAAACATAGGTTGGGTGTGCTATGCTGAAAAGACCCATGGTAATTTCATACTTCCATACATTAGTGTAACAAAATCTCCCCAACAGATTATGGGATCATTAGTTAAATATTATTTAGCCGAAACTATGGGTCTTTTACCAGACCAAGTGTACCATGTTACTCTAATGCCTTGTTATGATAAGAAATTGGAAGCATCTAGAGAAGACTTTTACAATCGGGATAGAAAATCTAGAGATGTAGATTGCGTAATAACTCCAAGTATGTATTTAAAATTTTACTTGTAATATAAATACCTACATGTATTTTATATTCATTTTGTATTTGTAGTTGAACTAGAACAAATGCTTAATGAATCCAATACAGTCTTAAATGAAGTAAAAGAGAGAGAGATTAAAAGGCCGTTTGGATCACAAATTGATAATTTGGAAAACGATCTATATAGCCATAGTGGTTCTGGATCTGGTGGTTATGCAGACTTTATTTTCCGTTATGCTGTGAAACATTTGTTCGGAGAAAATGATGTACATGTTGAATTTAAAAACCTCAGAAATCCCGACTTCCGAGAAGCAGTGTTTCAAAGGGATGGAAAAGTACTTTTAACATTTGCTATTGTTAATGGATTTAGAAACATACAAAATCTTGTGCAAAAATTAAAGCGACAAAAGTGTACATATGATTATGTTGAAGTTATGGCTTGTCCTTGTGGTAAGTACATCTATATATGTGTATATATATATTAGTGTAAAGGTAAGATACCTTTATTCATATATGTCAATTTAATTAATAGGATGTCTTAACGGAGGAGCACAAATTAGACCCTTAAATAATATCCAACCTCGCGAGTTGGCATTAAAATTAGAATCTACATATCATGAACTTCCTCAAAGCGATCCTAATAAAAATCAGATTATTCAAAACCTCTATAGAACTTGGTTAGGAGGAGATTCTACCAATAAAGTCTTAGCATTCTTCCACACACAGTACCATGAAATTAAAAAAATGAATACAGCTCTTGCAATAAAATGGTAGTTACACATTGTATTATTATTTCACTATATACAGGTGGGGTTCTAACAATTTTTATAATTATGAAATCTGTACTTCATAAATTTTTAATATGTAATCTATGTACATTAAAAAATTGTATAAATAGTTCATAACATAAAAGTTTGTTATTAAATTGAAATTAAAATGTAATCACGACTCTGTTATAATAATAATTATGTTGTATTATTTAAACAGTAGGTTTATTGCATACAACTATTTCACAAGAAGTAAAACATATAGCACAACGAATATAAACTATGTTTTTATAAAACAATTACTTTATGAATAAGTTTTTTCCACTATAATGCTAAAATGTACAAGAAATATAAAATAGAAAATTGTTTACATACCAATTTGTTTATCACATTTACATAGTAATATTATTTATTTGAAGTGCAAAAGATTGTCTTTCATATTATCTTATATTGTTTTATGCAAAAATCTAACGTGACTTGTAAGTACTACCTCCGTTCTAAAATAAATGTCTACATTATGTACTTTTATTATGCATAAATGGAATACTTACTTTTGAACAGAGGGAGTAATAAGTATTAAGAGAACAATTGTCATTTCAGGAAAAAGTGATATAGTTGTTGCTTAACAATGTAAATATGTATAGTATGTAATTGTAATTGCACATAGTATACAATAACAGCCTATAATATTTATATATGTATATAAAATAAGTGAATACTATTTTTTAATATATAAGACTATGTAAGTAAATTAATTACTTAAAATAGTGTAGTTTTTAACTAATAATACTGATGAAATCCTTATAAATAATACAGACATGTAAATAGAAACATTATAAATATTAATACTCTTAAAATATTTA